TTTCTAGTGTGTGTGTGTGTGTGTGTGTGTGTGTGTGTGTGTGTGTGTGTGGCTCCTCTGGCTTTGGCGGTGTTCCTGTGTCAGACTGGGGGAGGGGAAGAGCAATCAGCACTACTGCCTTCCCTGGAGTGACTCCTGATTGACACCTGTACATAGCTCTTCTCATTGTGATGCAGTTAGCCCTGCTTCCCACTGGGCTGCGGGAGGGGAAAATCCTCCCCATTGACAGCCCGGGAGTTCCTCTTGATTTACACTGGGGGCAGCTCCTCTCGCCTGACTGGGCTTACTCCTGAGTCACTAGGGGGGTGCAAGAGGCCAGTCAGTCCCCAGCTAGCCCTGGTGACCTCCCACCACTAACTCCCTTGCCTCCCAAAGCAGCAGTACGCTCCAGTTCTTCCTGCGGGACCCTCCGGCACCAAAGGCAACATCGTCCCCTACATGCCTTCTCAGGCCTTGGTTTGTGTCTCTTTCTCCATTGTTATTTTTTCTTAATTTTATTGTTTAACCGGAAAAAAAAGAAGCATTTTCCCGTCTCTCTGCCACAGAGGGGCCCCGAATGCTTTTTTTTTTTAAAGAGACTAATAAAGACCCCTCCCAGACTCTCTTCTGTCGTCCTCTTTCAATTTCAGTTCGATCTGTCCGGGCTTTTGAGTTCTCTCTCTCTTTTTCCTTCCCTTTCTTTTTTTTGTTCACTCCGTTTCGGCATCCGAACCCCTTTTCTCTCTCTCCCCCCACCCCTTTTCTCTCCCCCTGGGGCCTGGATGTCTGTCACAAGTTAAAAACAGCTTTTAAATTGTGGCAAAAAGATTAAACCCTCCTTTTTTCTGTGCGTTTATATGACTAGTCTTTTTTCTTTCTTTCTTTTTATCTTTTCCTCTCCCCTCAAGGTCCTGCTCATCTGACGTTAAACAGCCAAGGTATGACACTTTACCTTTGTTATTTTCACCCCAACGAACAGAAGTTTTAATTTCCACTCTTCCCTTCTGATCTTCCCACCATCCCTCCTTCATTTCTCTCTTCCGGTTATTTTTCTTCCCTCTCTCCCTCCCTCCCATCCGCTTGATTCATCTCTCGACTCGCGGTGGTTTCTGCCATGGTCCCAGATGTTTTGCTCGGACAGCCGTGTTGTACAGCCGGGTGGTAGAGAGTCAAGCATGTGCCAAAGCCAAAAGGATAAAACTAGTTTTCCTGCAATGTGAAGCAGGGGCAAACAGCATGTGGCTCAGAGTGATGCTCTGATTGTTAGCAGCCATGTCTATGGTGATGGCTGTGGGGGGATTTTGAAGGCAGGGGGTGGACCCCTGAGCCAGGAGGAAATCAGCATAGCTGTGTTGAAACCAGCTGAAGTGTGCCGATTTGCACCAGCCTGGGATCTGGGCCTCTGCTTTTTAACTGGTGTTTGCTTAGCATTGCTTGTGTGCAGTCAGTGATGATGCACAAGGGTGTCTGTGAGCGTCCCGGCGGTGCGGACCCTGAGGGCATGTATGTGTTCACTGGCGCTATGGATCCTAGCAGTGAGACATGAGGGCATGTGTGTGTGTCCTGGCAATACAGAACCTTGTAGGGGGACATGTGTCCTGCGTGTATCCCTGTTGGTACAGACCCTCATGCTGAGACACACGTGGGTGTGTATGTTTGAACTGGCGGTACGGCCTGTGGCAGCAAAACATGAGGGCGTGCCTGTGTGTTCTGACTTTATAGAGCTTGAAATGACACATGAGGGTGTGTACGTGTTGTGGTGGTACAGACCCTCACACTGACACCCAAGGTCATGTGTGTGTCCCAACTCCCAGCAGAATAGATCCTTTCACTGAGACACGAGGGTGTGTGCATCTTGCCATGTTACGGACTCTCACATTCAGACGGGGGTGTGCACGTGTGTGTCCTGGTGGTATAGACCCTTGAGATGTGCGGGTATGAGTATGTGCATCTCGGCGGAACGGAACCTCACACTGACACCCGTAGGCGTGTGCGTGTCCCTGTGTTACAGACCCTTGCTCTAAGAAATGAGAGCATGGATATATACCAGTCTGTTCTATGGACCCTCACACTGAGACACAGGATTGTGTGTGTGTGTTCTGGTTGTATGGACCCTTGAAATAAGGCATGAATGTGTGTGTGCACTGGGGTATGAACCCTCGCACTGAGACACGAGGGTGTACGTGTGTATCCCAGTGCTTCAGAACCTTGCACTGAGATGCAAGGGTGTGCACATGTGCCCCAGGGTATGAACGCTCCCACTGAGACAGGAGGGTTTGCGCGTGTGTCTCAGGGGTATGCACCATCCACTGAGATAGGAGGGGGTGTGTGTGTGTCTTGGGGGTAGGAACCATGACACTGAAACAAGAGGGTGTGTGTGTGTGTGTGTGTGTGTGTCTCAGGTGTATGAACACTCCCACTGAGACAGGAGGGTGTGCGTGTGTGTCTTGGGTGTATGAACGCTCCCACTGAGACAGCAGGGTGTGCGTGTGTCTCGGGTGTATGAACTCTCCCACTGAGACAGGGTGCATGTGTGTGTGTCTCGGGGTATGAACTCTCCCACAGAGACAGAGGTTTTATGAAGGCTCACACTGAGACAGGAGGGTATGCATGTGTGTCTCGGGTATAATCTCTCCCATGGAGACAGGGTGTGCGTGTGTGTCTCGGGGATATGAACCCTCCCACTGAGACTGGAGGCTGTGTGTGTGTGTGTGTATGTGTATCTGGGAGGTATGAACTCTCTCAATGAGACAGGAGGGTGTGTGTGTGTGTGGGGGTTTGAACCCTGACACTGAGATAGGAGGGTGTGCCTAGGGAGTCTGAACCGTCTCACTGAGACAGGGGTGTGTGTGTGTGTGTGTGTCCTGGGGGTATGAACCCTTACACTGAGACAGGACAGTGTGCGTGTGTCTCGGGTATGAAGGCTCACACTGAGACAGGAGAGTGTGCGTTTGTGTCATGTGGGTATGAATCCTGATACTGAGACAGGAAGGTGTGCATGTGTGTGTCTCGGGAATATGAAGCCTGACACTGAGACAGGATGATGTGAGTGTGTGTGTATGTGTGTCTCAGGTGTATGAACGCTCACACTGAGACATGTGGGTCTGTGTGTGTGTGTCTTGGGGGTATGAACGCTCACACTGCAACAGGAGGGTCTTGGGGATATGAATGCTCACTTAGAAATAGGAGGGTGTGCGTGTCTGTCTCGGGGGTATGCACACTCCCTCTGACACAGGAGGTGGTGCTTGTGTGTTGCGATGATATGAACCCTCTCACTGAGACAGGAGGGTGTGTATGTGTCTCGGGGGTATGAACCCTGACACTGAGATAGGACAGTGTGCGTGCGTCTCCGCGATATGAACTCTCACACTGAGACAGGAGGGTGTGCATTTGTGTCGCAGGGGTATGAACGCTCACACTGAGACAGGAGGGTGTGCGTTTGTGTCGTGGGGGTTTGAACCCTGACACTGAGACAGGAGGGTGTGTGTGTGTGTGTCTAGGGTGTATGAACGCTGACACTGAGACAGGAGGGTGAGTGTGTGTGTCTGGGGTTTAAACTCTCCCACTGAGACAGGAGGATGTGCGTGTGTGTCTCAGGGGTATGAACGCTCACATGAGACAGGAGGGTGTGCGTTTGTGTTGCGGGGGTATGAACCCTGACACTGAGACGGGGGGTGGTGGTGTCTAGGGTGTATGAACGCTGACACTGAGACAGGAGGGTGCGTGTGTGTCTCAGGAGTATGAACGCTCACACTGAGACAGGAGGGTGTGCGTTTGTGTCACGGGGGTATGAACGCTCACACTGAGACAGGAGGGTGTGCATTTGTGTCGTGGGGGTATGAATCCTGATACTGAGAAAGGAGTGTGTGTGTCTTGGGGGTATGAACCCTCCTACTGAGACAAGAGGTGTGCGTGTGTTTCGGAGATATGAACCCTCTCACTGAAACAGGAGTGTGTGTGTGTGTGTGTGTGTGTGTGTCGGGTGTGTGAATGTTCACACTGAGACAGGAGGCTGGGCACATGTGTCTTGGTGGTATGAACCCTGCCACTGAGACAGGAGGGTGTGCCTAGGGGGTCTGAACCCTCTCACTGAGACAGGAGGATGTGTGTTTGTGTGCGTTTGTGTCTCGGGGGCTATGAACCCTCCAACTGAGACAGGAGGGTGTGCATGTGTGTGTGTCTTTGGGGTATGAACGCTCTCAGTGAGACAGGAGGGTGTGCCTCGGGGGTATAAGCCTTCTCACCGAGACAGGATGGTGTGTGTGTGTGTGTGTCTGTCTGTCTGTCTGTCTCGGGGATATGAACCCTGACAATGAGACAGGTGGTTGTGTGTGTGTGTCTAGGGTGTATGAACATTGACACTGAGACAGGAGGGTGAGTGTCTCAGGGGTATGAACGCTCACACTGAGACAGGAGGGTGTGCATTTGTGATGCGGGGGTATGAATCCTGATACTGAGAAAGGAGTGTGTGTGTGTGTATGTGTGTGTGTGTCAGGAGTATGAACCCTCCCACTGAGACGAGGTGTGCGTGTGTGTCTCGGGATTATGAACCCTGACACTGAGACAAGCGTGTGTGTGTGTGTGTGTGTGTGTTTTGGGTGTATGAAAGCTCACACTGAGACAGGAGGGTGTGTGTTTGTGTCATGGGGGTATGAATTGTGATACTGAGACAGGAGGGTGGGTGGGTGTGTCTCTGGGGTATAAACCCTACCACTGAGAAAAGAGGTGTGCATGTGTGCCTCAGGTATATGAACCCTCTCACTGAGATAGGAGGATGTGTGTGTGTGTGTGTGTGTGTGTGTCCAGTGTATGAATACTCACACTGGGACATGAGGTTGTGCACATGTGTCTCGGGGCTATGAACCCTCCCATTGAGACAGGAGGGTGTGCGTGTGTGTCTCGGGGGTATGAACGCTCACACTATGACAGGTGGGTTTGCGTGTGTGTGTGTCTCGGGGGATATGAATGTATGAAGGAGTGTGTGTGTGTCTATGTGTCTGTCTGTCTGTCTCAGGGGCTATTAACCCTCTAACTGAGACAGGAGGATGTTTGTTTGTGTGTGTGTGCATCTCGGTTGTATGAATGCTCACACTCAGACAGGAGGGTCTGCTTTTGTGTCGCAGGGGTATGAATGCTCGCACTGAGACAAGAGGGTGTGCCTGTGTGTTTGTCTCAGGAGTATGAACCCTCCAACTGAGACAGGAGTGTGTGCCTAGGGGGTCTGAACCTTCTCACTGAGAAAGGAGGTTCTGTGTGTCTCGGGGCCATGAACCCCGACACTGAGACAGAAGGGTGTGTGTGTGTGTGTGTCTCGGTGATATGAACCCTCTCAATGAGACAGGAGGGTGTGTATTTGTGTGTTTGTGTCCCTGGGGTATGAACCCTGACACTGAGACAGAAGAGGGTGTGTGTGTGTGTCTTGTGTGTATGAACCCTGACACTGAGACAGGAGGGTGTGCGTGTGTGTCTCGGCAGTGTGAACCCTCCAACTGAGACAGGACGGTGTACCTAGGGAGTCTGAACCTTCTTACTGAGACAGGAGGTTGTGTGTGTCTCGGGGGTATGAACCCTGACACTGAGACACCAGGGTGATGGTGTGTCTGTGTGTCTCGGGTGTATGAATGCTCCAACTGAGACAGGAGGATGTGTGTTTGTGTTTGTGTCTTGGGGGTATGAACGCTTACACATAGATAGGACGATGTGTGTTTGTGTCATGGGGGTATGAACCCTGACACTGAGACAGGAGGTTGTGTGTGTGCCTCGGGTGTATGAACGCTCTCACTGAGACAGGAGGGTTTGTGTGTGTGTCTTGGGGGTATGAACGCTCGCATTGAGATAGGAGGGTGTGCATCTGTGTCTGAGAGGTATGAACCCTCCCACTGAGAAAGGAGGGTGTGCCTCAGGGGTATAAACCCTCTCACTGAGAGAGGAGGATGTG